GCTCCAGTAGAGGACTAAGGGCAGGCCGCAGAATAAGAGCAGGGGAGCGGAGCCCAGGGTGATGCCATAGAACTTGGGGCGCTGGCGCTGGGAGCAGCAGGACACCCAACAGGACCAGGCCAGCCGCACAGGTCACACAGACCAGAGCCAGGAGCCACGTGATGCTGGCTGCGTGGTAGTGCAGGCAGGTCAGCCGTCAGGCGGCAGCCCTGGCAGCAGTTGGGGAAGAGTTCGGAGAGGCAGCGCTCGGCACTGAAGGCTGCCAGTAGCCACAGCCCCGCCGAGAACCCCACGAAGGCAACTGCGAAGTAGAGCGTGTCCTCAGAGCCCAAGGCAGCCTGGACGATGGAGAAGGCCACCTGGCAGGCCAGGAACAGGAGGTCCGCGATGGCCAGGTGGAGCAGGTAGAGGGAGAGGGGGCCCTTCTTGACGTGGAGGAGCAGGTTCCAGAGCACGATCCCGTTGCCCACCAGCCCCGCCAGGGCGATGACGAGAGTCAGGTAGAAGACGACGGTGGTAAAGGTCCTCCAGATGCCGAACAGGCCAAACATCCCGGCCAGCACAGCGGGCAGTCTGAGCAACCCTGCGAAGGGGGCGACAGACGTTGGCTGACACAGTTTATGCACCTGCTGGGGACGCAGGGAGCATCGGCCACAGTCCCCATAGTGTGGTCCCAGTGCAGCTCCTGGGCCACCCTTCCCAGTCCTGTGACCTTAAGTCAATGCGTGTCCCTGTGAGCCTCTTGGTGCCTCGTCCCTAATGCATAGCAGTGCCTGAACAGGGTGGTCCTTGCACCCCCCGTGGCTGGGCACGAAAGGTTTCTGTGTCCTCTGTGGTGAGGGGCACCGTTGCAGAGGTCCGTCATGTGCTGCACGGGTCTCAGCAGGTGAAGGTGACACACTCGTGGGCTGCACACGTGGGGGTCTCGCTCCCAGCAGAGGCGGGCTGTCTACCCGGGCTCCTGGACCATGCTCCTGCTCAGGTTGCCCTCACCCCAGATGGCCTCCTGACAGTGTCCAGTGATGGGCCCACAGACACTCTGTCCTGTGCTGGGCAGAGGTTTTGGGTGGCCTCAGGAGACCCTGGCCTCCCTTTACCCTCCCAGCCTCAGGAGGGGATTGAACCCTCGAGGGCATCCCAGCAGGCAGGGCAGGTGGGGTGTGGGGACTTTGGCGATGGGTTGCAGAGCCCTGGGGTCCTCTTGGGAGCCACTGACACACATAGTGGGGAAGGGGACACAAGAGTTTGCATCTGGCCCCTTTCAAGGAGCAAGAAGCTGAGGGTCACTGAAGAATGCACCTGTTCCTATCCAGCCAGTACGCTGGCCAGGGAAGAGTAGACTGGGCTGCGTGGAGACAATGGAGGGCCTAGGCAGCCCCTCCCTTTCCTGCCATCCCTCCACCCCCAGGATCCACACCTCATTCCCAGCCCTGGGAGACGACGCTGAGGGGCATCCAGACCAGGCTCTGGGGTAAAGGAGTGCTGGGGTGCGAATGAGAGGGAGACAGGCACACAGAGAGAAATAGAGACCGAGTGACAAAGAGATATAGAGAGTCAGAAACAGAGAGATAAAGAGATGGAGAGATACAGGGATAGAAAGAGACAGAGATGGGGAGATACAGAGACAGAGAGAAACAGAGAGTGACAAAGAGAGTCAGAAACAGAGAGATAAAGAGATAGGGAGATACAGCGAGAGATACAGGGATAGAAAGAGAGACAGAAAGATAGAGACAGGGGCAGAGATAGAGAAACAGAGACAGAAACAAGGACAGAGAGAGATAGAGAGAGGGAGAGTTAGATAGAGACAGAGAGAAAGAGAGACACACAGAAACAGAGACAGTGACAGAGAGAGACACAGACACACAGAGCACAGGAGAGAGAGAGCCTAATTTATACCTGAATCCTTGTCACCCTCCTTTAGGCTAAGTTCCTCACCAAGGCCAACTTGTCACTACTTTGCTTACCCAGGTCCCAACCTCCTTTAAGGCTTTGCTCCTTCTCAGAGGTTAGGAACCTTCAGCTTCCTCAACCTGCTTTGAGCCCCTCTGCCCACACCCCAAGCATCCTTGCCTGCCACCCTCCTTTGCAATCGTCCTTGTTCCCAGCCCGGGGTGTATGTGTCACCTGGTGGGCATGTGGTGCCGGGCTACAGGGTCAGTGAGGGGGCTCCCCAGGCTCCCCTGGGGGTTCCTCATGTCCCTGCTCTGGTTTTACCCAATGGGGAGTGACAGTAAGGTGGGAGGGCATTTCAGGGGGTGCTGGCACACGGCCTGCAGGGCAGAGATGGGGCAGGTGGTTTTTATCAGAATGGATGCACCTGCCTGGTGCTCTCCAGCTCTTTAACTTCCTCCCTCTCAGTCTCCGCTTTCACAATTTCCATCCCCAACCTGCCTGCCCCCAAGGGGATTCTGAACCTGTAGCAAAGCAGTGCCCCTCTGGGAGCCAGGCTGGGAGCAGGGGGCTTGCAGAAGGCAGAGGAAGGCTATGTGCTCCCCTTGGGGAGCAGGCAGAGGGCAGGCAGCCAGCCTTCTTACCTGCCTACCGACCTAGGCTGTCCCAGCTCCCAGGCACCCAGGCACTGCCGCAGGCCCTCCTTGGTTCAAATCAGTGCTCACTGCCGAGGAGCCCAGAGAATAGAGCTGGGGCTCCTACCCAGCCCTATATCCTCTCATGTCCTCTGGGATCCAGCTGGCTGACCAAGGGTGTCTCCACCAATTCCTTAGAAGTGGCGGGTGTGGTACCCCGTTCACAGGAATTGTAGGAATGAGCTAAAAGGGGGACGTGATCGTTGTGGGCTGGCCCTTTCCTTTCTCCTCAGCCCGTCTGGCAGGGGAGGCTGGAGGCACAGCATGAGAGGGGTCCCTGCCCAGCCTGGCCTGGTGGCTGGTGGAGGTGCAGCAGCCTTAGGGCCCTCTGTGTCCATCCAGGGGTGACCCCACTGATGTTGGTGTCTTTGGAGGTGTGACAGAGGCACATGTGACCCCGGAGGTATGCATGGCCTGGTCCTTTCTGGCTGTGAGGCTTGAATAAGTTAACCTCTCTGTCTCTGTTTACCCCATCACTGGACCAACCACTCACAGGCAGCTCGGTGCCCGAGTGTGGCAGTTGCCTGCTTGGGACTGGCACCTGCTTGGGATTGGCTGACCAGTCAGGGTTTCTGTGGGTGCTCTGCAGAGGTGGCCTCACCCCTTCCTGAGGAGCTGTTCATGTGCCTGCCGTGGACCCTGGGGTCCCAGCTGCTGACAGATTCTTTGGAGTTAAAATACTTCTCTAAATTTTGTTCTTCAGAAACACGTATCCTGGAATGTTCCTTCACTGCAGCTCGTAAAGTTCTAGGCGAAGGACTGCTCTCCAGCCACCCAGCGTGACTACACTTGGCTCTCAGATGGAAAGTTTGCATGACTTGCAAGCCCAGGTGACCCTAGTAGCCCCTCATGGCCCTGCCATCCCCGCTGCAGACTCCACCCCAGCTGCACCTCTCAGGATGCCTCACAACTGCCCCACTCCTCCCTTCCTCAAACGCCTCAATGTCTCAGCTCACACCTCCAAGCCTTTTATACCCTCCACCTGCTTTTATATCACCCTGGCTGGTGGCTACTGTCCTTAGCAGCTACCAGAGACCCAGACAGAAGAGCCCAGCAGAGCATCCACCCGTACGGGTCCCTCTGGGGTGGCTGTGTCATCAGGGGTCAGTTTGCACCATGGCTTCAATGACACAACCACAACGTCAAAGTTAAGTCTTTTTTTTTTTTTTTAATTGCCAGAGGTCATGTGCACCCACCAGAGTAACATAAAAAGAGAGAGAGAAAACATGTCCCATGGGGAATGGTCACGCTGCAATCCCTTCTCCATTTCTCCTCCTGTCAGGATTTTGGGCACCCACACATAGGCCCTGCATGTTTTTTTTTTTTTTTTGAGAGGTTTTTGCTATAGGGCGCATGCGCTTGCCAGACAGACAGAGAGAGACATAGAGACAGAAAGCGAGAAATCACTCCCCAGGGAGGATGGTCACGCCGCAATCCCTTCTCCTCCATTCTCCTCTCGGGATCTTGGGCATGCACGCACACACGCCCGGCTTGAGTTCTAAGCCACCAGGTCCGGGACACGAACCGCGGTCGACTAGGTGGGAGTCCAGTGACATAGCCATTACACTAACTGCTGGTTCCTTAGGCCGTGCATGTTTAAGGCTGGGATTTGACGGTCATCCACGTGGGATCTGTCTCCCTTAACTACTATGCTCTGGGCCAGTCCAAGATTTTTATTACTTACAGATCTTCAGGGTAAGCAGGACGACCAGAGAGCAGCCTTCCGTCCAGGTCTTCTGCAGCATCAGCAAGTGCATGCACACTGGAGAGGGCTTCCCTGTTCACAGGCCGTCTGGGGTGGGGTGTCTTAATTTTGCAGGGTTACTTTCTATTGCGTACTTCAAACGGCCCTGGTGGCAAGGGCAGTTGAGCAGTTTGGTGTGAGGCTGAGATGAAGGGACTTCTTATCTCTGTTGGCCAGCTTTGGCCGGGCCTAGGCAGCATTACCATTACCCCTTAGATAGTCCTCAATACCTAGGCTGCTGGCCAAGGCTGAACCACCTGGACTGGGGAAAGGTCAGAGCCACAGGGAGCTTGTGGAGTGGGCCAGGCTAAGGGAAGCAAAGCCAATGAACACACACAGGGGGACTTGGGATCTGGTTCTAGACCAGCCTCCCTGACCTGAAGCTAACCATTGGAACGAATCAATGCTGTGGGCAGAGCAGGGCTGTTGGGGAACACCGGGGTGAGGCTGCATCCCACCTCCGCCAGTATTGCTACAGTGTGGGTGCTGTTGGACTCTCCCGAGTTATTGACAGCCACGCAGCATATAGCTTTCTAGAAGGAACAGATGCCTCCATGCCTGGTCAATAGATCATTCTAGGCTAAACAAGGGTTTGGTCCAGGAGCATCTGGGTCCAGAACTCATGAACTTGTTCCATGAGACTTAATGTTTCTTGGAGATCTCTCAGAGACCAAGGTGGCAGAGAATTGGTGTTGTGTGCTTAAGACATTGTACCCAGACCAGGACTGGGTAGGTTTAAGAGTCACTCTATGTGTAGTGACCAGGATAAACATTGCATTGTGTGCTAGGAGGCTTTGCCATGTGGTCCCTCCTGGGGTATTTGGAGAGGAAGTGCCACTCTTCACCAGGGTACCACTTGTTTCCATCTTCCTGCTCATTGTGGTAAGGTAAATGAGATTGAGTTTGGGAGAAAGAGATATATAGTCACTCCTGAGGCCATAAATACTCAGAGAGGTTCCTGAGCCCAACACACGAGCTGGCCAGTCAGTGCAGTCATTGGAAGGGGCGTACTGTGTTACAGTTATAGCAGGGCATTCTCGGGTCCGTCGCTGGATATTTGTCTGAAGGTTAGACGTGTTGCATTTGATGGGGTGGGAGCAATTGAGTAAGAGATGAAGCCTCTTCCTTCATCCTAAGGAGAGATGAGACATCTGAAGCCTCTAATGGGAGGTGACTGTCACAGCGGGTAGGCTGTCACCCAGGAAGGAGCGAGCCCTCATCTTGTGTTTGAGGAAGTGAGGACAGGTCTCAGCTCAGTGAACAGACAAGTTTGGGTTACTTTAGGGAACTGGGACCCAAACGATAGTTGTGGGTTCTGGGGCTTTAGTCATTCCCCACAGGGGCCCAACAGATGTGGGTGTGGAAGGAAAACAGGAAGTTGTGGTGGCTGCAAGTGGGGAAGGTCCATGGTGGTAGGAACCGCCAATGGCTGGCAGAAGTTAAAGTGAGACCAGTCTGCAAACAGGACACACTCCAGTCCATGGATTTCCTCAGTACGGCAGGAGTGAGTCACGTTCTGGGTTAGATGTGGGTGTGCAGCACACAGGTCTCCCAAACCTAGGTTTTTGCATAATTCATAGGGCAGCCTCATAGTCTGACCTGGGCCTTGTGGGTTCCTTGCTATATGGGTTGTAGCTAACGGGGTTACACTTACGGCAAACAGTGATCTCAGCAAAATACAGTTCTCTGGGGTCATCTGTGGGATGTTGGCAAAGTATGAGCTAAAGGAGGCAGCAGCGCGATGGCAGGGCACTGGCTTTAGCAGGTGCCGCACCCTGGGAGTGTTGAGGCCTGTTTCCTCTGCAGCAGGTTGGTTTGGTGACCAAGATCAGGTTCTCTGGTGTCTTTGGTTCTGGTGAGGCCAGAACCCTCAATGACTTCTTGCACTGGGACGCTGTAGCCCGAGATGACATCATCTCCATCAACGGCCTGTTGGTTTGAGCTGGTGTCATCCAAGGCAGCGGCCACTGAGTAGGAGGTGGCCTTCCTGGGTGACTGTGCAAGAAGGGAAAGGAGGGGTCTGGGCATGGCAGTAACTAATGTCAATCTCTTAGGCCCTTTGTGGAGTTGCCCTACAAAATCTCGATTTACTGCTGGTTAACACAGTAAAATACACAGCTCCTGTGGATCTTCAGAGGTCCATTTGGCAAAATTCTGCTATACTGGATGGCTTAGGCTGTCTCCCTCCATAATATCAATTGGAGGCACATGAATGTCCCAGAGCCCGAGGCAATTTTCAATGCTTGCTCTGCACATTGGGTTCACGTTCTAAGGGCCCCATCTGGGCTTATATCATAGAGCATTGTGAGTCCATTTGGATAACAGCCTGGGCACCCAGAGAGCCATCCGCCTGCCACTAACATTTGATCTGTTTCAGGGGGCCTGTTGGTGCTGAAGCATTGGCACTATTGGACCCATTTAACATATATAGACTGAATCACCTGGCTTAGACCTGGTCTGCTGGCCTTTGGGTGCAGTTCTTCAAACATGTCTTTTCATCATGACCCAGTTTTCCAGCGTGGTGTACAGTTTCTGACCAGCATGGTCCTAGACCTGGTCTGCTGGCCTTTGGGTGCAGTTCTTCAAACATGTCTTTTCATCATGACCCAGTTTTCCAGCATGGGTGTATAGTTTCTGACCAACATGGTCCTGTCCCAGCAGCTCTCTGGGTTGTCAGGCCCGTGGCCCAATAGCAGCCCTATAGGCCTGACCCCATAGAAGATGCAAAGCAAGGCTGTCCACAAAGAGCACCAACTTCTTATAACAGGAGCTTTCTTAGCAGGGCCCCACAGTGATGCTGATTATTTCATTGATGGCTTCCTCCATTGTTGGTACAGGCCAGGCTTGGCCATGGCGTTCCCATCACCCAGCATCCTCAATGTCTACCAGTTTATGGGCTTCTTTTCCTCATCCAGTGTCCCAGACTCTGCCCTCCATGGGCACAGGACAATAACTTCTTCCTGAAGGAAGATAATGTTTCCTGCGGGGGATATTAGCCAGTCATTAAAACTATTGAAAACCAGAACTTCCATCAAAGCTGCATGTCCAGCAGACTGGTCTAGTCTAGCAGATGCATTGTAGGCCTGCTCATTGCAGTGGCCTGTCTGTCAGTCACCAATGGATCAAAGCTTACTCACTATACCCAACTGGTCACCAGTAAATGATGGATGACAAGGTGACCAACATCTTGTAACTGTGGGGAGGTGTCATTACTGGAAAAATATAAATGATATTCTCCCTATGGGGAAAAGAAAAAGACTCTCCCATGAGCACCAGCGTGAGCACCAGGGTGGGTCTGGCCCCATAGTGAAGAGGGGAATGGCATCCATAGGGCTGAGAGTTAAGAAGACTGAGGGCTCTAGGAAGGGGCTGGGTCCCTGGAGGGTCCATGATCCATTCTCAACTTTAATAATAATGACTTTAGAAGACCATGGTGCAGCTCTACAAGGTTGGAGGCTTAGGAGTGGTAGGCTAAATAAAAATTCCAGAACCCCCATGTCATAATGCTCCCTCCCATGGTGTCATGCCACCATGACCTGAAGTGGGAGGTGCGATCTGAATCACTGATACTGGGTGGTATAAAAGGCGAAAGCAAGTAACGGCCAGAGAAAGAGAGCTCCTGTTCTGCTGAGGTGTTCCAGGCAGGAGAGACTGATGGAAGTCCAGTGAGGATGTCTGTGCACGTTCCTGAGTAGCGGACAGTATCTGCTGCTGGTGAGTGCCCAGTGAGACTGAGAGAGGGCCAGCTATGTGGCAGCGTGCATAGTAGGGCATTCAAGTTGCTGTCGAGTTGCATCGGCTTGGCTGGGGCTGAGCTTAAAGGTTCCTGGTGTTGGGCTACTACTTAACATAGCTTTCCATGACCAGAGCCCACACTTCACCCTCTGCCAGAGCCCAGTGAGCATGGGCCTGTGAGCCTGGAAGGCTAGAAGAAAGAGGGGACTGCGAGGCCTTGGGAGATGTGGGAGCCTGAACTACTGAGGCTGGGTATCAGGGGCCTGTGGGCTGGCCTGGTGTAGACACCAGGGCTGATGTGTGCCTTCTTTGACATGCAGTTGAAAATAGCCCTTGGCTCATTGACCCAACAGATGCGCCCTATAGTAGCTGCGCCTGAATTGTAAATGAGTAGCACAGCCTTGGCCCGACAACACTGCCAGCCCATTGGCTATGGCTCTGGAATCTCTGACAACATGAGCAAGAGTGAGTCATGAGCCACAGCATCCTCACTGTCAGCCAGTGGCTAGCACTGTGGCTGGGCTGAGCCCACTGTGCATCTTGTGTTGGGGCTGGGCTGCTGTAAGGGTGGGAGGTGGTGGCTGGCTGCAGACGCCATTGTGTACTGTGGAGGTGGTGCTGCCATCTGCAAAGAACAGACTCCCTGCTTTGTTTCACTCAGTTCTTCTCAAGGGCTCCCAGGTTTCCAGGGTTCAGGCAGTGGGACCACTGCTACCACTTCCTATTGGTTTGTGGGCAGGGACTGAGACACTGTAATTTGGAGAGACCTACTTGGTCAGGTTTGGCCTATTCCTTCAGAAACTGTTTCCATGTCATCAGGGAGGCATTAGCAGCCTTGTGGAGCAGCTGCTGGGAGGATGATGAGCTTGTACACAACTGGAATTGGGGTGCACAGCAGCTCCAGAGCATGTCCTGTAAGGGCCTTGCTCTAGGAGGTAGCAATAGACCTCCCCTGAAAGGGTACAGCAAGCCATGGATCCTGGAAGTCTTTGCGCTTAGAAGCCCACAGTAGCCAAGACAGCTTTGCTTGGTCCAGGGGTTCCAAGGTGGCATAATCCATAGGAACGAGAAACTCAGGATGTGGTGGGACCAGGAGCATGGCCTGAGGCCAACCATAGCACTGTGTGTGCAGTGTGGGCCCCAGAGAATGTGGAGGAGCTCCTCGCAATAGCATGTGTGGATCTCAGCAGAATGAATAGAGGAGGAATATGTTGTCTCCAAAGGCAAAATGTCCTGCCACGTGTTAGCCCTGCCATACAGGGGCTGGCTGCCCAATGGTTAGGATTTGATTTTTAAACATAAGGGATTTGATGGCTGCTCGTGATACCCAGAATTTTATAATGGTGCTTGGGCCTTGATCTGCAGGCCAAAATGGCCAAATTCCAGCAATTTCATTAGGCCTTGAACTTTGTGCAGGGCCATGGCCCAGTCAGAGTCTTGGAGGAAGGCCTCGAAAATGGGCAACATAGTTTTGATTTTTTCCCCCATGGAGCTCCTGAGCAAAACATCATCAGTGTAATGCCACAGGGTGCAGGTGTCGGGTTTGAATTGCACCAAGCTTTGGAGGGAGCATGGCCTTGCTGACCCTGGTCTTGAACTTTGGGCCTTCATACCTGTGAGGGAATAAACTCCTGCCATTTTGCTTCACCTCTTTTGTGGTTGGTTGTTATGGCTGCCTCAGGAAATGAACACGAGGCGTGCTATGTGCTAGTGCTTTTTGAAGCAAATAAGTGCTGTCCTATGAAGCATCTCGTTTACCCCACACAGCCGCCTTCTGGGAGGGTGACCTCATCCTCCCTGCTTGTAGACGAGGAGATGAAATAGCTAGTTCAAGGTTGTGCAACCCCAAGTGGCTGAGAAGGACCATCTGAAGCATTTGTCTGGGTGATGTCATCTCTGAAGCACCCAACACGTGCATGGATCTGAGCACCGTTAGGGTGCTCTTGAGCCATGGGGGCCCACTTGAACCCCCGGTCTTGAACTGTCACTTGAAACACCCAAGTGAGGCTTGTTTAAATGGATCCTTCTTGATCTAATCTCATAATCCAATGGCCCAAGCTGTTTGTGGAGCTGTGTGGCCTGTGTCTCAACCCTGCTCTCAGGGGCTCAGCTCCACGAAATTGCTGGTGTTTGGTCATTTTGGCCTGCAGATCATCCGAAAACCAGGTCTGCTGTCTTGGGCAAGTGTGGGAAATGATCTGTCACATCGGGGAGTGTCAGGAGGACACCGTGATGAGCACATACGAGGGGAAACTGAGGAAGCAAGAACAGCATGGCGTTCAAGAGGTTCTCACGGTTTCCATGCCACATCCTGTCAGAGGTTCAGGACAAAACCAGTCTTACTTGGAGCCCAGAGAGAGGGCTCGAGGTTGCCCAGGTCCCCAGAGCAGGTGGAGAGGCTGTGGGATCTCCCGAGCACCACCCTACCTGTTGCACAGAGGTGGTCCTCGGACCAGGCCATCTGTAGAGGGCTGCTAGGGTCTGTGTGGGCAGGAGACGAAGAGCAGATGGGGTGGGGAGTGTTTTAGCATAGCATAGTTACTGCTCAGAGCGAGATGACCACAAGACAGTTGTTAGAGTCACAGCTCCTGAGAAGCAGGGGCATGCCTCACCAGGCAGGGTTGCTGAGGAAGTGCCAAGGTTGGTCAAAAGGGAGAGGGAGCGAGGGAAGATAGAAGGTAAGAGCCTTTGTCACGGTTTCTGCAGGAAGAAGCAGGCAAGCAGGTCAGCGGGCCTAAGGCTGGCCAGTCTTCAGAGCTCTGGGCCTTAGGGGCTGTTCCTGGTGGTTTAGCACTTGGCACTGGGGTGATTAGGGCAGGAGGTGGACTGGGTGGCCCCACGTTTGAAAACAGCTGGTGGGATGTGGTTCTGTATCAGTTGGTTTGTACTGAGAAAACACAATGGGGGTAATGGTCACTCTCTCTGGGAATTGGCTGACTCGG